ACGTCCCTCCTTGCGATATTTTTTTTCCCTTTTTTTTTTGCCTGCGTACGCAAGAACCTGCTTGCCAACGAGCGTATTGTATACGTTTTGATCCAATTTTAATAATTGAAATAAATATTTTACACACTTAAACGTGTTGTTGATTGTATTATTAATTAATAGATTGCAAAAATAATAATTAAAAACATGTTAATTAAATTAATTAAAGACATTAAAAGTTGACCCAGTGATGACTCAAGGGACGCAACTATAATAATCATAACAAAGGGACGTAACAACCACTAAAAGACATAACGTAACATTTGCTTAGATATGCTTGTATGTAGAGACACAAACTAGATTTAGAAGAAGTAGATGATCGAAATAATTTAAAACAGCAGAAAAAAATAGAAAGTATACAGATTCTAGGCTTAGTTTGAAATATAGAGCATCTAGAACTAGGCTAGTCTAGCTCAAGTCGTTGGTTACGCAGCGATGTGAAACCACCGTAATCGACACCCAAGCTGCGGCCACCCCTATTTACCTATCAGGTTGCTTTATTAGCCTTATCTATCGTATGTAAAGTGTCCCGCATATATTGTAGAAGCTATTTATAGTTAACCTAGTTATAAAAAGCTTTGATTGGTTGGTTTTATTCATCTCATCCGGGACCTAGTGTTTTTCATAGGGGGAACTAGAACCGCCTACGACGTCATACCTCGAAACTTTAAAATTTAAAAACTCGACTTCCAGAAGGAGAAAAACAAAAGAATTTGACCTGGATATATTTAGAAATGGACAGGTTTACAGTAGAGAGGCTCACTAACTCGAAAGCGTCCTTGGTTGCTAACCAGAACATGGCTACCACACCTTGGCCTACGATTGGGCAATTTTTTCAGCTTTGTTCGAGAGACCACCTTAACATTAACATTAAAAATAATTATCACGCGAAAAATGGCGTTTTTTTTGCGTATTTTAAGCTATCTGAAGATGACAAAGCTATTTTTGCCAGAAAAAAAAATTAAAATTTGCTTCCGACAATGTAGGTCAAACGTAAACATGGGTATAGTTTGAGTTGTTTAAAAACTTTAAATATTGGTCTGTTATGTGTCCAAATGGCACTGTTCGGTAGGCTATTATTAGACTCATCGTTTAGTGAAAAAATATTGTAATTATTTTATAACCATTTTAAGAAATCGGCGCCCAAAAAAGGTCACTGAAAGCACGTAATTTTTAATTGTGACGTCATCGCTATTGTGATGGATGCTGTACGGAAGTATGCGCAATAGACGCTAAAAGGGTTGTATATTATTTCAAATGGGCTCACAATTTGGCCTTGATTTCCTGCGTAATTAGGCTAATTGAGAATCATTAGTGATCTTTTACCTGGCCATGTGATGATAGGTATCTTACAAGGCTATAAAAGCCCGCGAAACACATCGATCTACCCTTCAGATTGGTATTGGTGAGAGTATTTGATGCATACTTATTATAGCAAGGATAACTAACTTGAAAGCGTCTCTGGTTGCTAACAACACAGTAGCGTAGCGAGGGGGGGGCGGGGGGGGGGGGGACACATGTCCCCGGGCGCCGAGCTTAGGGGGCGCCAAAATGGGTTGGAAAAATAAATTGAAAGGTTGAGGGGGGTGCAAATCAAAATCTCGAGGGGGGGGGGGGGGGGGGTGCAAATAAAAATCTCGAGGGGGGGGGTGCTAATCGAAAAGTTTGTCCCCGGGCGCCGGGAAGGGTCGCTACGCCTCTGTAACAACAACATGGCGTCCTAAACCGGACGCTTAGTTTCGGACATTTTTCTTGTCTGCCCAAGTGACTTTATAGGAATTCGTTTTTAAAATGTTTACCTCGTGAAAAATTGCGGTTTTTTCACATAATGTAAACAAACTATAGTTGGCAGTGCTAAATATGCCAGAGAAACGCTATAAATTGCTTTGGATAATGAAGACCGAAGCTCAAAAAGTGGTGCCGACAAACATTCGTAGATCTTTTTAAATATTAGCAACTACGATGTAGATCGGAAACCGAAAGTACATCAATATTAGATTTAACAGTCTGTGTAAAAATAAATCGAATATTACATGCGCTATTTTTTTTTTAAATTCTCCAAAACGGTCACCACCAGAAGTAAAAATTCCATAACCCACGTGACCGCTATTTGGCGGCAGACGTTCGCCTAGGTGGCTCTATCGACTCTTTACTACGTTTGTGTTGACGAGCGTTAAGTGAATATTTTCCAATTTTGATTTTTACATTGCTGGACAAATTAATTAAGTATTTCGATCTGAACACGGGAAGATAGGAATTAGTTGGTATTTCTGTAAAAGCCCGTAAACCCGTGATCTCGTGGTGAAACGCGATCTCGAAAAAGTCTAGGTGCTAAATTATTTACTTGATTTTATTATTACTAATTACTACTAGATCGAATTATAGTTAATATTATTTTCATTTGCTTTCATTTTTATATAATTGATTATTATGATTTAGATCCAGAAGGGCTAGGCTAATAAATTATAATAATCATATTAGAGGACAGCCTGCATAAACAAAAGTTTGCATTCTTAGATCTAGATCTAGTTGACACAGTACAGGGACTTGCGCACACGCTCGCGTGACGAAAGAACGCAAGCGGGCTCGTGACGAATTTGCATAATTTTTCACTCACAAGTGATCAACGTTAATGTGATAGGCGTAGCCTAACAATCTTTAAATAGATCTATCTAGATCTACACACCAGCTCTAGATACAAATTTAAGTATTAAAACTCCACCTGGATCTAGCTTCGGACGGGCGATGTTTCTCTCGTTGACAAAACAACGCGAGCGAGCCGTCACTACGCACAGCCTATGAGTGGCGATGTTTGGAATGCATTTCTCGCTCACATGTGATGAAATTTAATGCAACGACAGTTTTAAAAATAAAAACAGATATTTTATTATGCCTATATACTTTTTTTTAATATTTAAAACTCAGCCTAGACAAAGCTTCCATGCTGGATAAGGGAGGAGGGTTAGATTCCGCCGTTAACTCAATCTATGTATTATTATGCATAATTGTCCTAATTAAACATTCCTATTTACACTGATTAATCAAGACTGAATAAAACGTGAAAATGAATACCTTTAAAAAGTTTAGATCTATATATTTTTAAACATTTATACGTGATTATTTTTGGTTCATTCATTTGGCGTTCATTTGGCGTTTGCTAAAAATATAGTAAATAGATTACATAACCAAGTTACGAGTATCCTTTCGATTTCGTTTTATTGCAGCATACCTCCACTTCCCCCTCCCCACACATGATCCTTACGAACCTCCTAGGTAGTTTTCAGGTCAACTTTAGGAATCAGATCTCAGACTGGTTGTCATGGAAAAATCTTTCACAGCTAAGCTGTATGGCACCAATAATTAAAATCATGTATTTTAGTTCATAATGAGCTAAAATCATCAAATGTAGTGCCTAGTTAGTTAGAAAAATATCTCTAGCTTTTATTGGTATTGGTTAAAAAAATAAAAAATTAAAATTAAGATTTAGTGAGCCTCGCTAGTTTACAGCAGATATCGGTAGAGGAGTTTACACTTTTCGGACACACACCAAAAATTACGTAGGAGCGAACACTTCGTCGGTTTTTGGCTCATAGAAACTTTAATTAGCATGTCTCACGCGAAACCACGGCGCCTGCACGTAAACTGTTCATTTATGAACACTTCCGTGTCAAGTACTTCCGTTTCCTTTCTCAAGAATTATTTTTAGAAATTTTTTAACGTTGCATGGTACGCACATTTCTATTTTTACACCAGCCGGATGAAGTGACCTAGGGTTGGACTTAGGGGCAAAACTTGAACCAATCAATGCTTAGCTAAAAGGTTACACTATTAATAGCTTCTATATATGTATGGAACATCGTAAATGTCAAGGTTAATGGGTTTTTTTTGTGCTTGAACAATAAAAAAGGGGTGTTCGCTAACTTATTTGGCCTTACATGGGACCGGACAGCAACACAAAAATATTACTAAATAAGAATTTAGAGCATAAAAGGGGCTGGTTATTGAAGGGAAAGGGTCAAAATAAGGTCAAGAAGGCAGTGGAATGCGAAAGAGGAGGGGGAATCATGTGACCTGGCTGGCTTAGCAGCGTACTGCGCGAGCCGCAATGGCTGAATGGGATGAACTTTGGGAGTGTGGGAAAAAGGTTTTATACTATTAAAATTACCTCACAAACAATCAATAACACAATATAAATGCATATAATATATGTTTTTATTCATTAAATTGACTTTAAATTATTCTAAATGAATAAAAAGTGCTATGTCCGATGACGGGTTAAGGTGTCCGAACACATGTAAAACTGTATTACATGTGTTCGAACACACGTTAAGACCCCCCAGTCACTATAACAAGAATAGCTTAAGTTCTATGCGTATGAATACAAAATGACGCACACATTATTAAAGTAGAATGGTTGCGGATAGATATGATACTTTTTTTTGTTTTCTATGTTAAGCGGTTACTGAATGAGACCGCATGGAATTTTTACGTTGCGTTTTTTCGCTATGTGTGTCCGAAAAGTGTAAGCTCCTCTAGTTTCGTATAAAACATCAAAACAAATATTGTACGAAGCGATAAACAGGCGATGATCGCACCGGTGTTTTAACCGCGCGTGGAACTTTACTCTAGAATCTAGATCTAGGCCTACGCAAAAAAAATCCCCCGTTTGAGCTACATCACAAACTTCTGTTATTGTAATTTTCTGCTCCTTTGACTGTTGAATCTAGATTCTAGTATAAGATCTAGATCTAATCTAGATGTTTTTCCCAATTAAACAAATTTAAAAAATTTATCCTCGATCTAGTCTAGATTAGTAGGCCCCCTAATGCTACCTAATACCTATTCTAGATCTAGATCTAGATCTCTAGTTCAAGATCTGATCTAGAAAATTAATAAATTAATATCTAGATCTAGATTAAGTTAATAATTGTTTTATGAGTTTTTAAGGTTGAGCTACTTACGCCATGTTTGTACTATGCCCTGGTGGGCGAAATGTCTGGGGAAACCTAAGTAGACATCTTGGCCATTATCATCCAATTCTGTGTTGACGTGTCTATGGAATATTGTAAAATGGCCTCTCACGTACCCTAGTGAAGTATTTTAGAATAAAGGTCACCTTAGTCTTAGATTAATACTCAATTTAAATTATTTAAAAATACTACGATAAAATGATTATAAAGTATAATATAGTGAATTTTCTAAAAAGCATACTTTTTGCAATTGCTATAGAGATTTACTAAAAGAATTGTCATGCCTTTTCACCACAAATAATTAATTTTGAACTATTTTTTTGACCTTTCAATGGAATTGCATCAGAAAATTTGGTCACTTGCCAAAATATGATGTCATAAGTTATAAATAGCAATGTTATTAAAAATAGTAGGCCGAGCAGTGTGGCAGAAAAGCATCCGGTCCGGACATGCCAGTAAGTCATTCTGGCTTTGTCATAAGGTCCGGCAATGAGTGGTTCTAGTCTATACAGCAAGTAGGCGATGTCATTTTATTTCATAACCGACACTTGGACGTCGATTAGGAAAAACTATTTCCTAAGATAAATTAAAAACAAGCTTATCCAGTGTATGAAACATGTATTTTAAAATGCAATTCATTGTATATAGTCCTATATATATATATATATATATATATATATATATATATATATATATATATATATATATATATAATATATAAAGCTCAGTTCTGTATGTAATGCATTTGTATGTCGTTGGAATTGTACGAATTTAAGTGTTAGAAAATTAGCGTGCGCATTTGTCTAAATTTATGAGCTAAAAATTACCATTGAAAGTGTTGGGAAATCATTTTCATTTTTCAAATTATAGTAATAATTGATAATTGTCGGCATGTTCATTAAACACAAGTTTAAAAAAAAATATCATCTTTTACAAAAATTCTAATTATGTCTTTATTTAGTCCTATAGCACTTACTTCCCTTTGATAAATTAGGAAAACAAAATTACTTCCCTTTATAAAACCATTGCATTAGTCGAAAATAATTTACTTTTTAATTACTTTGTTTTGGTGTTGGGAAAAAAAATAATTACATAATTAGCGGGGATTGATCAAGTGCAAATGTTGTAGGTATTTTACGGATAAGCTTGGAGTATTAAAATTGTTCATCAAATTGAAACAGGCGCGTTCGTTTAAGTGAGTGCAAAAGACTATGAATAAGTTGGGGTACTATAGTCGTTCATTAAGCTAAAACAGGTGATTCCGCCCCGGGCGTTTATGTTCGCGTTAGTGTTTTCTTTGTGTTTAGGTGGGTTTGCGTTAGTGGTTGCGTTTTGATTTGGTTCGTTTTTGTTCTTTCTTTTTTCGTTTTTGTTTGTGTTTTTTTGTTTGGGTTTGTATTTGTGTTTTTGGTTGGTTTTGCGTTTGAATTTGGTTTGTTTTCGTTTGCTTTGTCGTTGTTTTTTTTTTGTTGGTATTGGTGTTTGTGGTTGGGTTTGTTGTTAGGTTTTTGTTTTCGTTTGCTTTTTTGTTTGTTTTTTCTTTGTGTTTGTATTGGTGTTTGTGGTTGTGGTTGGGTTTGTTGTTAGGTTTTTGTTTTCGTTTGTATTTGTAATTGTGTTAGCGTTATGTTTGCGTTTTGTTGTTTTGGTTTTGGTTGGTTGTGGTTTGGGTGGGCAATGCCGGGTTTATGATGATTACTAAACACACAGGTAATGGTCTTTAACAGGAAGGTTTTTCACAGAAGCCAGAGCAGGGCCTGGCCGGGACGGCTAGTAATTTATAAAGCTCAATTCTGTATGTAATAAGTTTGTCGCGGATACTTAGATGGATTTAAGTGTTAGACTATTATAGTACTCACGGTCTAAATTTATTAGTTAAAAAAATTAATACTGAAAGTGTTGGGAAATAATTTTCATTTTTCAAACTGATAGTAATAATTGTCGGCATGTTCATTAAACACAATTTCAAAATTTTTTTTTTCATAAAAAACGTTTTAATAACAAGCTTTTATGTAATGATGCACTAAAAAGTAGAAAATAAATTATACACTACTATTTAAATTACTATAAAGAAAAGCGTGGGTCACTTTAGTACTTTAGTACCTATTGGATACCTTTACTAATATTTGAGAAGAGACCCACGCTTTTCTTTATAGTAATTTAAATAGTAGTGTATAATTTATTTTCTACTTTTTAGTGCATTAGTACATAAAAGCTTGTTATTAAAACGTTTTTTTTATGAATTTTTTTCAGTACTTTACATGTTTTATTTACAATAGTGTTACATGACTAAAAACCATTGCGCGTCTATTGAACGTGATGGCGCAGCTATTGAACCTGATGGCGCAGCTATTGAACGTGATGACGCGTGTGGTGTGGTTGGATAGACATGCCTACTAATTCGGTCCGAATTTTAATTAATTCATAAAAAATTAATTAGGCATCCAATTAAGTCAAATTTAATTTCAGATTGCATTGTCTTCATGTCTTGACCCACGTGTCAAATATGAATCGTATCGGTCAAGTAGAAGTGTCCGAATTTTCACTCCTGCGTTTCGATCTAGACTGACGACAGACTGACGACAGAGGAAGCGAGTTAAATAAAAGCTTGTAAAAAAATTAATAAAAAAAAACGTTTTAATAACAAGCTTTTATGTACTAATGCACTAAAAAGTAGAAAATAAATTATACACTACTATTTAAATTACTATAAAGAAAAGCGTGGGTCACTTTAGTACTTTAGCACCTATTGGATACCTTTACTAATATTTGAGAAGAGACCCACGCTTTTCTTTAAAGTAATTTAAATAGTGTATACTTTATTTTCTACTTTTTAGTGCATTAGTACATAAAAGCTTGTTATTAAAACGTTTTTTTATGAATTTTTTTCAGTACTTTACATGTTTTATTTACAATAGTGTTACATGACTAAAAACCATTGCGCGTCTATTGAACGTGATGGCGCAGCTATTGAACCTGATGGCGCAGCTATTGAACGTGATGACGCGTGTGGTGTGGTTAGATAGACATGCCTACTAATTCGGTCCAAATGTTAATTAATTCATAAAAAATTAATTAGGCATCCAATTAAGTCAAATTTAGTTTCAGATTGCATTGTCTTCATGTCTTGACCCATGTGCCAACTGTGAATCGTATCTGTCAAGTAGAACTGTCCGAATTTTCACTCCAGCGTTTCGATCTAGACTGACAACAGACCGACGACAGAGGAAGTGAGTTAAATAAAAGCTTGTAAAAATATCATCTTTTACAAAAATTCTAATGTCTGAAAATTATTTATATTTAGTCCTTTAGCACTTACTTCCCTTTGATAAATTAGGAAAACACAATTACTTCCCTTTATAAAACATTGCATTAGTGGAAAAGAATTTTCTTTTTACTACTTTGTTTTGGTGTTGGGAAAAAAATAATTACATAATTAGCGGGGATTGATCAAGTGCAAATGTTGTAGGTATTTTACGGATAAGCTTGGAGTATTATAATTGTTCATTTGCTTTGGTTTGGAAAAGACTATGAATAAGTTGGGGTACTATAGTCGTTTATTAAGCTGAAACAGGCGATTCTGCCCAGGGCTAGACTGTGAGCACTTTGCGTTTATGTTCGCGTTTGTGTTTTCTTTGTGTTTAGGCTGGGTTTGCGTTAGTGGTTGCGTTTTGATTTGGTTCGTTTTTGTTCTTTCTTTTTTCGTTTTCGTTTGTGTTTTTTTCTTTGGGTTTGTGTTTGTATTTGTGTTTGTGGTTGGTTTTGCGTTTGGATTTGGTTTGTTTTCGTTTGCTTTTTCGTTTTTTTTTCTTTGTGTTCGTATTGGTGTTTGTGGTTGTGGTTGGGTCGGTTGTTAGGTTTTTGTTTTCGTTTGCTTTTTTGTGTGTTTTTTCTTTGTGTTTGTATTGGTGTTTGTGGTTGTGGTTTGTTGTTAGGTTTTTGTTTTCGTTTGTATTTGTAATTGTGTTAGCGTTATGTTTGCGTTTTTTTGTTTTGGTTTTGGTTGGTTGTGGCTTGGGTGGGCAGTGCCGGGTTTATGATGATTACTAAACACACAGGTAATGGTCTTTAACAGAAAGGTTTTTCACAGAAGCCAGAGCAGGGCCTGACCGGGACGGCTAGTATATACTAGCTAGTTGCACAAGTAAATAAAATATGACGTCACAGGCTCTAAACCTTTCGTGCACAATAAAATCTCATTCAAATGTAGTCGTTCGCATTGCTATGTAAACCGTTTAAAAAACGATAGAACGCGATTATGATTCCAATCATATATGCCCTCCTTATTAGCAGCGGTTATTGACCGTTACCGCCGTATAATTTTTATTTCAACTTTTTACTTGTTTTTGTTAATCTAATATTGAGTATAAAAGGTGAGTTTTCAAAAATTTACATAAAATAGTAGAACATTGAGACTAGCTTTGTTTTTAGTAGGATTATCTTTATTATTTATTAAACTTTCTAACTAGCATATTTATTTTAGGTTTATCCGTTTAGCAGACTATGCAAAATGTCTCACAAACTAGGTACACTATTAGTGGTATCGATACCGCATTTTCATGTTCCTTCGTTTTATAGGAATTATGTCACCAATTTTTATACATTTTTTTTCTTAAAGAATTTTAATAATTAAAAAAATAATAAACTAGTAAATGAGAGGATTCAAAGATAATAAAGTAACCTTTTTAAAATAGTAAAAATTGTATCCATTGAGCTAATATGTTGCGTCCTGTACTACGTGCTACTAATGATTGAATTAGGTATACGATAACTCAACACAAAGCTGAAATTAAGTTATACATATAATGATTTAAAACTAAAAATAATGACACTAGGTTCGATTTGAGTAAGACTATGGGATTTTTAGTTACATTTTTTAACTATGAAAATAATTTTTTTTCGTAGTGCATTATAGTAGATGCTTAAATTTAAAAAATCGAGAAAAACGGTATCGCTAATGTTTTGTCGCTATATCCGTTAGTATTTAGATCAATTAAAATAAGAAAACATTCAGACTTAATTTGAATTTAGTGTGAGTCGGTACAATTTAATGTTATTTTCACAAATGTTTTTATTTTCTTCTTCAGACGTTCACAAGCTGTAAAAACCGAGTAACAAATTAGATACCGTAGGCAGAGGCGTAGCGACTCTTCCCGGCGCCCGGGGACAAACTTTTCGATTTGCACCCCCCTCTAGATTTTGATTTGCACCCCCCCGTCAAACTTTCGATTTGCACCCCCCCCCCCTTGAGATTTCCATTTGCACCCCCCCCCCCCTCAAACTTTCGATTTGCACCCCCCCTCTCGAGATTTCCATTTGCACCCCCCCTCAAACTTTCGATTTAATTTTCCAACCCATTTTGGCGCCCCCTAAGGTCGGCGCCCGGGGACATATATCCCCCCCCCCTCGCTACGCTACTGACCGTAGGCCTAAGTATTACTAGCGATATCGATTCTACCTTTCTCCGCCTTCGTATTCCGTTATATTTGTTTTATATTATTAGGCCATTAGGTCTATTTAAAATGCAAAATAAAGATGTATCTAAGCTGTCTTAAACATTATAAGCCAAAGGTCGAAATTATTAATTGAATAGTGGTAAAATTCACCAAGTAGACTGTGCGGGATCCAAATATTATTAATCACTTCATTTGGTTGAAGACACGGAGAGCGGTAAATTACTTTATTTCGAAAAATCTAAACAAAAAAATATCACGATAAAACCAACGCTACTGTTAATATGAATCACTTCAGAATTTCTATAAACAAAATGAAGGATGGGTTCATTGAGAGTTGAGTAATTCAAAAGAAATGCAATCACTCGTTTATAACTATAATTACAGTCTCAACGACAGAATCAAATGAGAAAAAATCTATAGCCTTATTCTATACCGACACTGTCGATAAGCCACTCAACGCTGACGTTCATAGTAGATTTTCTCAAAACAAAAACAAATAAGATTAACTTTGAGCTATTTGGAGTTGAGGCTGGTTCGCTTCAAATTAAATTGCTAGATTTGAAAACCAAACATTTGTGGAGCGGTGAGTTCACAGACCTCAAGAGCAAGTTAGAGGATTTGGAGGTCCAGTAAAACATGTACGTTTCACTGTACAACTGGACAGCTCTAAAAGAAATGCTGCGAGTTGAGGCCCTACTATGTGACGCAAGGAATAGTCTTGCAGGATGCTAGAGTAAGGCGAAGAAGTTGGCATTTGGAGTGCTGACGATCTTCGGGTTAATATATTCATGCGAGCAAGCGTTTTCTTGCATGAATATAATACAAAGTATAGAAGCCAACTAACAAATACACAGAGGCGTAGCGAGGGGGGGGGGGCGGGGGGGGGGGGACATATGTCCCCGGGCGCCGACCTTAGGGGGGGGCGCCAAATTGAAAGTTTGAGGGGGGGTTGCAAATGAAAAGTTCGAGGGGGGGGGGTGCAAATCGAAAGTTTGAGGGGGGGGGGGGTGCAAATGAAAAGTTCGAGGGGGGGTGCAAATCGAAAGTTTGAGGGGGGGGGGGGTGCAAATGAAAAGTTCGAGGGGGGGTGCAAATCGAAAATTTGCTCCCGAGGGGGGCGCCAAATTGAAAGTATGTCCCCGGGCGCCGGGAAGGGTCGCTACGCCTCTGCAAATACAAATCTAGAATCGTGATTGAAACTGAAAACAAGTTATGAGCCAGGTTTAAACAAACTTTCAAAAGGCACGCAAGGCGAAACTTGTAAATAGTATTCAATAATGAAAGTTATAGATCTACTTTGATTACTGATTTTATTATTCTAGCAGAGCTATATAAAATACTTTAATACTTATTTCTACGAAACATGTGTATGTTTTGATTTGAATAAATATTATTTCATATTTAAACATATATATATATATATATATATATATATATATATATATATATATATATATATATATATATATATATATATATATATATATATATATATATATATAATCCTAATCAAGTATCATAATAATATTGAAATAAAAGTGTTAGTGGCTCTTTAAAAACTGGGATATTTGGTAAATTATAACTTTTGGCTCTATCGTCCCAAAAGGTTGCTTACCCCTGTCCTGGGGCATAGGGACTATTTAATTTTGTAACATCGAATTAAAAAAAAAATCAAAATAGTCACCAAACCAATAAGTAGCTTGTAATTTTTTGTAGCTTGGAAAGGGGTTGTCCTGGAAAAATTAACTTTTTTGGTCGGATGTGGACTGAGGGGGGGGGGGGGGGGGGGAATCGCGCCAATGTTGACGTCCACATGTTGAATTTTACATCAGAATAATAATAATTACATCTGAATAATAATAATTACATCAGAATAATAATAATTACATCTAAGTTTAAAAAGAAATTTAAAAAGAAACCTCATATAAAATTTATGAAATAAATCGACAGTTCTCGAGTTAGTAACAATGCCCCTGAAGTGGACGCGTATGGACGGGAAAGGGAAGGGGGGGGGGTATAAAAATTGAAATTTCGAATTTTTTGTTGATGTCATAAATGGGTGACCCCATACGAGAAAACGTAGGGGAGATCACTCCGCTTTATTTGACTTGATGTCACCTTAAAATGGTCACCCTGTGCAGTAGGTACCACACCCTCTTACTTGTGACTCTGCTGACTCTAAGCCAAGTGGTTTTAAAAATGACTTTATGAAAAGCAAAGTTGGCACGTGGGTTAAGACATGAAGACAAGGCAATCTGACATTAAATTTAACTTAATTGGATGCCTAATTAATTTTTTATGAATTAATTAAAATTTTGACAAAATTAGTAGGCTGTTCTATCCAACTACTCCACACGCGTCATCACGTTCAATAGCGCGTCATCACGTTCAATAGGCGCGCAATGGTTGTTAGTCATGCAACTCTATTGTGAATTTAAAACATTTAAATTTCTGAAAAAAAAATTCATAAAAACGTTTTAATAACATGCAATCACTGAACTTTTTGTGTTTAGATTGTATCTTTGAATTTATTCTAAGGCGTTCAACTTGCATTTTTTCTTCACAGAATCACGCCAGGACAATACCAGCGCAAGACAACACGAGGAACATTTACGGAACATGCCATTAAGATGGCAGTTGCAGCCCATTTTGAAGGAAAGTAGCTCCATAAAGCTGCATCCGATTGTTGGTTTAATTATAAGACCATTCAACGCTATTTAAAGCTGCACAAAACAGACGGCAACATTGAGAAGGAAACTATTGGCAACAGTACGCAGAAGAAGTGCATCTTCTCAGATGAGCAAGAACAAGTTTAGCTGGACTACATCATTAAAGCCTCTTCAATCTACTATGGCCTAACTCTGAGAGAATTACGCAAACAGGCCTTCGAAGTTGCTGTCGCCAACAAAATTTCCATGCCAGAATCCTGGTCCTCTGCGAAAACTGACAAGCTATCTCTGCGAAGTCCGGAGGCAACATCACTCAATCGCGCACAGGCATTCAACAAAACAGACGTAAACTTATTCTTCGATAATATTGAGAAAGTGATGGGGAAACATAAGTTTCGGCCAGAATACATTTGGAACATTGATGAAACTGGGTGTTCCACTGCACAAACGCCTCAGCGACAACTAGCAAAGAAGGGTGAAAAACGTGTAGGCTCCATCGTGTCACACGAGAAAGGGAGCACCGTCACACTATATGGAGCTGTAAAAGCCATCGGAAATAGTATGCCACCATTCCTGATCTTCCCCAGAGTCAATGTTCATTATCACCAAAAAAAGACATCATTACTTTGCTGACAAAGTCTGACATTTCTTGGACAAAACGCACCAAGAGTGGCTTGTGTTAATTGAAGTCATCGTGAAATATGCAGCCTAAATATTCTTTAACTGTTAACTGAAAGACAGCCTTACTTTTTTTTTTCAATTTTAGTACAGTCCTGTATTGATATCTTTGGCCACTGTCCTCTTTATGGCCCTGTGTTCTGTCTGCGGCTCTTCCCGTGTCCACAATAAAAAAAAATCTTTTACTGTTTCAATTCAATCTTATGTAAATTTTGTAATAATTACAAATCTGGTTTGTTAGGGGAACTTTTTTCTATAGCAAAAGAAAATGTTTTTTAGAATCAAATAGATTCAACAATATAACATTTGAAAATGTGTGACTTTTCACCCCAAGCATGTGACTTTTTGACCCCGCACTTGGGTCAAATTGCACAATTCTAAATCACAATTTTGCAAGTCTGTCATACAGTGAACAGCTATTCCAAACGGCTCTGCATACAGTTATCTGAAATGTGGAACTAGTAGCCTATCTAGTACATTGGCATTGTTAAATATTCACAATACTTGTCTCCAGATCCTAAAAAGTGAGATTTGTGACTTTTCACCCCCTCCTCCCCCTACATATTCGTACGAACACTTTGTATTTGCTCGACAATGACGTTATGTTCATTTGAAAGACTGATACACTAGGGGGACGGTAGAGCGGGTAATCCATAACTGCAGACCCGATGATAGAAAATCGCGGGAACATGTTGAAATTGTTCTAGATGATAAAATCCATATTCGGATTTAAAAAATCAGTGGAATTGATCGTAAAAGAGAAGCGGTAAGTAAGTTTTTGTGTTTCGTCAATGTCTGATGTAATGTTTAGCTGTCTTTCTAACTGTGCAGTACTGAAGACGATATGCGTGTCATGTTTAAACGTTCTATGGTGTTGACAAAATCTTTATACTTCATTAAGTTTTGTATTGTAAATTTTGATAATTACAAACGTGAATCAAAAATCATTTTGTAGTTGAAGTCCGACCGGCTGCTCCTTCGTCTTCTTCGTTCTTAATTTTAATGTTGGAAGGGATCCCCCTCCAGCACAATTAAGTATACGTGTCAACTGGCTATGCGCCATTGAGGCCATTGACTCCGATTTCAGCCTGCTTTTCTTTTTAGATTTGCTTCTTTAACCAGGAACAAACTACAAGGCAGTAGTTGTTTGATTTTGGAGTTGTCTCTCCTAGAAGAGTGGCTGTCACCAGCTTGCAAGCCTCATCTGTTCGAACACGAGACTTTTCGGCTTAATAGCCCTGAACTTTACCGACTCGACCACGCCGACCCCTTAAAGTCAGATAAAGAGTACCGTGGCATGGCGGGTAAGAAATTCTAGTAGTACAACCAACCCGTCACCGCCAACCATTTTCGAGAATGTTATTTTTTTCTTCGTTTGTATTTAACACAGTAAAGCTTTATTAATTTTATAGACATACATTTTTCTATATCATCAAAATGTTTTTGGAAGAAATGGAGGTATCAAAAAGCACCTTAAACTTTTTTCCTAAGGGGGTACTACTACCCACTTCTACACTACTATAATCGTTTACTAAATAGAATAAGGCGCGTCTTCCGTGCCCCGTTGGTCGGGCGAGCCCTTGTGAGCACTATGGTGCTTACATTAGTTCTAAAGAGCACCATACAATAGGAGAAAGGTAGCACAAGACATTCTATAACTAAACCGAATCATAGGCCGTGCCTGACGCCCCTGCAGTAATGTAAAATGTGGCTCCTGTGAGCGCCTGGTGACGCCCATGAAACCTGGCCAGCAGTTATTTTATAAAACAGAAATAAAGTGCTACTTTCGGATATCGGAGAATACTGAAAAATTTAAGTAATCTAAGTGATCTTTTAACCAAATGTGAGATTTTGTCTTTCTTACTGAAACATTATTTAAGTTGTCGTGTTTACGTATGTGAGCGGGTGAATGGATGATTTATTTTGTATTATTTTATTGTGTGCGAATCTGTGCGTGAATGGTCCATTGGACAGCGGCTACGGGGTTTCCCCTTCCGCCCGAAGCGGTCAGTTTAAAAACTGACCGCTCGGATAATTTCTTTTTTTTTTACCCGAGGCGAAATGTAGATCGGGTCAGTTTCCTTGTGGGCACCTCGTGCTTGCAGGTACTTGTTTTATTTTACTTTTATATGTGTAATTGGTATGAAAGCTACTGCCTATGTTTCTCGTTTTCTTACTTTTTCGTCTAAAACGAGATAGTGAGCATCGGCGTGTCTGGTATACAAGTGGTGTGTTATTTTGAAAGATTTGAAATGTATTTTTGGTATTTTCTAAACCCTTGGCGTATGTTTTAGACCACGTGGTTTAGGTCGTTATGTTTAGGAGGTTTCCTAAACTGGTGCGAATGCGTGTGTGCATTTACTTGATTGTTTTACTTTATTATGATGTGTTGTTATTGTGAGTCCCCCACGATGACTAGGATTGGCTTAGTCAATGAGTATTTTTAGTTGCCTAGAGTTTTAGGTTGTTTAAAATTAATGTGTGTGCTGTTTCGTGCAATGTCATGTTGAGCCACTTGCTTGGTGTCTGCCTTTATTGGGGCCCAAGCGGAGTGTGTTAACTTCAATGTTATCAATATGGAAGTTGTATAGGTAGGCCAATGGCTTCGTGCTGCTCCTTGTGTAGGAAAGATTGGTTCTACAATGAACTTGTTTTACACGTTATTTTTAAGTTGCTAGTTCTTGGTTAGAGAGTTGTTAGTTGTGTTTTTGAGAATTGCTTTTAGAATTGTAATAGTAGGGATTAGTTTTACTCGAGGCTTTAGATAGCTTTAGGAGAAGTTAGTAGTATTTAAACATGTATATATTGGTGTATGTATTTGCCATGCAATATATTAATTTTTTCTTTATTCTTTTCTCTCCCCCCCCCCCCCTTTCCAGTGAGGTTGCTTGTGCAACTTGGCTGGATGTTTTGTATATATTGTGTTTGTGTATGTTGTTTTGTATATATTGTTTTGTCACGTAAAAGTGCTGCTTTGTTTTGTGTATTTTTAGCCTAGTTATTTTGCTTGGGATTGATGTAGATCTTGTTTTTATTTACATTCCTTTTTTGGTTCCAATTTAATTCATGCAATAAATTCTGTAGAAACTGTTAAAGTTTTTTTGTGTTTACTCTAGACTAAGGCAGTGGAGTGTAGAGGGAGGGGGCGGACAGGGCCCAGGCCCCGGGCATCCACCACGGGGGGGCATCCAGCGGAGGTGGACATTTTTTTAGCGCAATTTCCATACTGGCAATTGCGTTTAATAATTCGTCATTTCTGGATGGATGGATGTGTGGATGTGTGTCCGCAGTTTTAAGTCGTATCTCCTCCTCAACGAAGCAATATCGAGGACTAGTTCCAAAGCAAATATGTTAAGCAAGTTCCGAGGATGATTGTGGGCCAAAAAAATTCCCGGAATTTCTTCCTGGATTTCCCGGAAAAGCCAAAAAACCTCGAAAAAATGCAGTTTTTGGCTCATATCTCGGCAACCAGACCACTTAGCGACTTGAAACATTTACCAATCGATTCCTGCTATAATTTAGAACAATAGTGCCGAAGAAAGTTTTCAAAAATATCCTTTCGTTCGGTCACAAAAAAGTATTTACTACTTTTTTAAACTGAGCATCGTGTAGGCCTAGGATGATATTTACTACTTTTTAGCGCAATTTCCAAACGGACAATTGCGATTATTAACTCGTCATTTCTGGATGTATGAATGGATGTATGGATGGATGGATGTGTGTCCGCAGCTTTAAGTGGTATCTCCTCCTCAAAGAAGCAATATCGAGGACTAGTTCCAAAAGCAAATATGTTAAGCAAGTTCCAAGGATGATTGTGGGCCAAAAAAATTCCCGGAATTCCTTAGTGGATTTCCCGGAAAAGCCAAAAAACCTCGAACAAATGCAGTTTTTGCTCCATATCTCGGCAACCAGACCACTTAGCGACTTGAAACATTTACCAATCGATTCCTGCCATAATTTAAACCAATATTGCCGAAGAAAGTTTTCAAAAATATCATTTCGTTCGGTCACAAAATTTTTTTAAATATATTTTAAACTGAGCATCTTGTAGGCCTAGTTTTAATTTAAACTGAGCATCGTGTAGGTTTTTAGCGCAAAGGTTCGAAAGGATTTTACCATAGCGAATGAGCGGAGGTTCGAAAGGATTTTTACGCAGGTCTGTGAATTCTAAAAAAATTAATTAAGGAAATTGCGCTTAAATTGTCACTAGACTTTATATTAACTTGTTTAAACTGAGCATCTTGTAGGCCTACTCGTTAAAATAAAACTGTTTCCGTTGATATAGGTTAATATAGTTGTCTTTTTTTTCGCGCAAAAAAATATGCTTTCGTTCGGTCACAAAAAATTAAAAATTGTTATGGATAACATAAGGAAATTGCGCTTAAATTGTCACTAGACTTTTTATTAACTTGTTTTATTCTTTTTTTTTTTTTAGTAATTTAAAAATTGTTGCGATATGTCGTGTCATATTGTCATCGTAACTTTCCATATGTTTGCCGATCTCACTCAAAAAATTGTAACACTCAATCGTCTGTCACTCGTTTTAACATTACACTGTCCGTATAGCAAAACATATATAGAAAAAGCGGGCATCAGTGAAGGGTAGTGCTATGAAAGTCAATGATATTCCCTTAATAAATGTGTGTGATATTTATTTAGTATAGTGTAGGGGCATCGTTTAGAGTACTTGTGACCAAGTTATGCACTGTAAGGGCATCTTTAAAGTAATATGCGCGTATTCGTTATACTCATTTTCAAGGACATCCGTCGAGTAATTAAATCATATTTATTTTTATACACTGTAGGGGCATCTTTAAAGTAATTATTCGTATATTCATTATAATATATTTTATGAGCGTTTACTAATATGCCCACTTCACTTTATAATACATTTTAAAGGCATATATTGTAGGGGCATCTTGAAAGTAATTATGCTTATATTCATATATTACACTCGAAGGACATGCAACAGTAATTATACCAATCATCGTTGTTAACATTGGGGGCATCTCTAAAGCTATTTTTTAATGTACTTCTTCGTTATTATCCATTTTAAGGGCATCCAAATGGTAATTATGCCCATATTATTATTATAAATTTTTGGGGCATCTTTAGTGAAATATATGGCCATTTGTAGTGTAATAACGCCCAAACTTTTTTTTTGTTAAATTGTATGGACAGCCTTCAGTGGCGTAGCTAGGATTTTCGGGCCCCTATGCAAAAATTAACAATGTAAATAATGTTAGTCGCCCACCCTCTCCCACACTGAATGCCACTGCCTGTACACTAAGAAAGGACTTGGGGCCTTTTTAAAATTTAATTATTTCTACAGTAGAAAAAAAAACTTGATTTCATTTATTTTATTAAAAATTATTTATATAAAATAAATATCCAAATTCCAATGTAAAAGTTTTAACTTTTTAAAAGAAGGAAAATGGCCCCTATTTGCCTTGGGCCCCTATGCCTTGCTTTCTAGCTTTACGGTAGCTACGCCACTGGCAGCCATTAGTATATATTTATTTTTATGCATTATATAAGCATACTTAAGAATAAGAATGCCCATATTGTTTTTGATACACATTAGCGACAATCTCAAGAATACGAATCAACATATTGTTTTCGATACATTGTAATGATATCATTCAGAATAATTGCGCCCATATTGATTTTTACAAATAGGAGGAGCATGCTTTAAGTAGTGTTAAAGTTAAAGTATTTTAACTCTGAGTAGAGCGTTCTTTAAAGTAATTGGGGGCACATACATAGCCAGTTTTATTTCAGTTAATAGTAGAGCTATCTATAGAGTTATTGAGCCCATAATGATGTAATGAAATGTGGGGATGCGGTGTGGGTTTTTAGGCTATGGAAGCCGTTAGTGATTTATCCCCCACCTGAACTAGACAGGCGTTACCTGGTTGTTAAATTTGTGAAAACGCGTCCAAGTCTAGGGAGGGTCTGACATAGCATAGTGGATTTTTAAACACAGTCCGATGTAGAAGTGGTTTTTTTTTGGGCTGGCAGCTTTAGCCAACCAAGGTACACTTCTGTTATATTCAAGGTTAAGATAGTTTGAGAGTATCTAGCATCACCCATCTCTTTAAAGAGCTGACGTTTTGACCAAGTGGTTTAGAGAAAAAAATCTGAAACATCTCTAGTTCAATGCACACTCTCACCTGTATTAGTTACACTATAGGAATTCCTAAACAGGCCAAGAGAGAAACATCCCATAAATAAAGGCGTGTCTGACGCCCTAATTGTAGACACAGACAACGTTTTTGTCCCTGCGGTCCCGGGTGGTAATACAAAACCGGATGAGACTCTTTTGTAGTGCATCACAGCCCCCCCCTCCCCACCACGACACGTCCCGCAATTGTCTCCCCCCTTCCCCCCCCCCCCCCCCCCAAGTTCCAACCATTCATTCCATTTGGATTTTAGCTGGCTGTAGTCAACGATTTCGTCTCAATTAAGATAAGTACAATTTTTTAAATAAATGCTTTTCTATGTATATTAACGTCCAACACAACTTATTTGTTTTTTTTTGTAACTAAGCTATATATATATATATATATATATATATATATATATATATATATATATATATATATATATATATATATATATATATATATATATATATATATATATATATATATATATATATATATATATATATATATATATATATAAGTATTAGGTTATTAACCAGTCTGGGTTTAGCCGGACTTGCACTGACCGGACGGAGAGTTAAATGAGCCTAGAAGGGTAGATTTTAGTTATCCCACCTAGTAGGGCTTACACGGACAAGGAAAGTAGGGAGGTTTAAAAATGTGAAAACTCAAAATTTCATATAATTTTTGTGCAGGATATATTACTTCTCTGTATAAGAGAAGGTAAAAACCTCACGGGTCAAATATAACGTAAAGAAGCACTGAAAAATACATAAAAACCCGTTGGATATCTTGTGCATTTAGAGGTATTATGAAATAAA